ACTAGCCTCAATACAAAAATTGTTATAAAAAAAAAAAAGTAAGGAGGCTTTAAATAGATTATTCAAATTAAAGCTGTTGTCACCAAAAATAAACTATTGAATCTGATTTTATATAGTTCACTGTGTCTGAATATACTTTTATTATTTTTCCTGAGTGTCCTACTTTTCAGAAAATAGGGGAAAAAAATAGGTTTATCATTCTTTTTGTATAGCAATCAGATTGGCAAAACACAACAACAATGGTCAGAGTTTACGCGTGGCTGTGATTTACAAAGCAACGTGGTGCGCGGAAGGGTGCACAGGCCCTGCTCCTGACTCATTAGCGGCTGAGGCCCAGTGCTTGTGTACGCACATAATTTGTTATGTGTGCTGCACGCACATATGTGCACACGTTACAGGGAGCAGTGATTGTCAGCCTGCACTCTGACTTCCTCAAAGAGTGCCAGACCAGAAGGAGCAATTAACGAAGTCTGCACCAAGTGGGGATGCAGATCACGCACTCCACCACTAAGGAATTGTTTTTAAAATCACTTTGCATTGGAGAAGACTGATTGCCAGCCTCCTGCCATGTGACTATGGCCCTGGGATGTATTGCCTGCTCTCCTGTACTGCTGAGGTTTGCTACCAACTAGGTGGATTTGGCTATGGAGCTTGTCTAGTGCCCTCTGTTGGTAGCAACAGCAATATGCACTACCTGAATAGCAAGACTGGTTAATTTGTATATTCGGGTAGATTTGCATATTGCTAATTCTGCAGGCACGTAAGATATTTTCTGTTAATTATTGTCTCCCCCACCTCTTTAAAAATATGCCATTGTGTTATAATAAGTCACTGTATGTTGCCTGCTATGATTTGACTGTTTGTAATTTTATTGAGTTTTCTCAGCAATGTTAATGTAATGACCATATGGGCTAGTCCCAAGGAAAATAACGTTTTAGAGAGTTCTTCTTCACACGCAATCTAGAGTCCTGTCTCTTATTGGGGGAATTGCTATGCTCTGCATGCTCCCTTGGATAAACAATTTTAAGCTCTTTTAAGAGCTTGTTCCTGTTTTGCTCTCTGGAGGAGTCTACGGTGGTTATGGTGTCTGCTGCACTGCTTGGAGTCCTCAGGAAGCGCTAGGAGCATCCTTCAATGGAGGTACCCAGGCAGGATGCCAGGTGATCCGTTACAGTGGTGGCAGCGGTGGGATGGCGTCCTAGTGCGAGGAGAAGCAGCTCGGAGACACTGGTATCGTATGAGAGGTTATTGAGGGCAACGCTAGCCACTGTGCAGCGTCCCTACCTACAACAGCATGGAGCGAGCAAGACCCTGGATAGAACCCTGTGAAGAGCACCTCAACCTGATACGTCGCTACGAGGGCCACGGTTACCTTGAGGAGGTAAAGAGGCGGTTGGTCTTGTATGGCCCAGACCCTTCAAACGAGGTGGTCTTCCAAGTAATGCGCCAGTTGAATGCTGAGAACCATGCGACAATGGACTTTGAGCAAAAACTGTGGAGGTTGAGGATATGGACACCCAATCTCAAGCGGCCGTGTGCGCCCCAGGGAACTGAAGGTGTCGTCCTTCCTCCCCAGCGGCAGTGTGAGTTCCAGGGAGCCGAAGGTGTCATCCTTCCTCCCCAGAGGCAGTGTGAGCTATATCACTACAAGGGATTGCTATGCTATATCACTACAAGGGGTTGCTATGCTCTGCATGCTCCCTTGGATAAACACTTCTAAGCTCTTTTAAGAGCTTGTTCCTGTCCTGCTCTCAGAAGGAGTCTACGGTGGTTATGGTGTAGGCTGGAGTGCTTGGAGCCTTCAGGTAGCGCTAGGAGCATCCAATAACGGAGGTACCCAGTTATTAAAAGCCACCTGACCACAAGGTAATCATTATCCGCCATTGGACCACCAGATGTTTATTATTAACTCCCACTGGACCACCAGGGAAGATAGCCCCTACTCTACAAAAACGATAAGCGGGAGCGTAGCCAGCTGGTGTGATAAAAAATGTCCTCTTTTTTTTAATTTATTTTTTTATTCTTTTTACAAATGTTGATATTTTCATTAAACAGAAGTGTTGTGTCAAATGTCTGCCGGCTGTGAACAAATAAAATTTCTGATAGGCACTAAAAACTTCTATTATACATGTTCATTTTTTTATGTAGTTCCTTTTTGAGAACCTTTTAAATGTCCTGATTAGCATGTGATCCATAAAAAAAAATGGCTGTTGTATATCTAGCACCAATATTAGCTGTAGATAATAATGAGCCAATTAATCTTTTTGATAAGAACCAATAAGAAAAATGATAGCCTTTGGCAGTAGTAATACAAAGCACCTCTTAAATGACTCCTTAATTAAAAATCACTGTTAGAGCCATTATTTAATTTATGCCTTTATTATCCTGCCTGAAACATATACGATAAAATAATACTGCCATTTAACAAAAGAAATCAAATGTTATGGAGTTGGAAAAGAAAGTCCAAAACACTTCCTTTTATTTTTTTTAGGAATCTATAAGGAAGTTTATTTTATATTTTTTTCCAAAACCATTTTTATTGTGAATGCATGGTACGCGGATATAACATGAGTGACATTATAGGAAGTTTATTTTTAATTAGGTGATGGGTTTTGACAAAGGATAGGTTATTCAATAAAGTAACGCTACAATAAGAGCAAAATGAAAGCAATGGTTGAATTCTACTGGTCCTGTTTCAATTCATTCTCTAAGGGTGTGATAAGATGAGACCAAGATTCAAAATCAACAATCATTAATACATTTATACTATAGGGACGGTTATTCATCTCGTAATGAACATGTTCTGAAAATGGGAACTCTTAACAGAAGGGAATCCAATTCTGAACTGATTGATGCTTCCAATTAAAACACTCTACTACAAAAAAAAAATACTAGTCCTCTTCACTGACCCGTGGGTCTGAGAGTTCCTCAGAAACTTTATGATTTTTATAAACAATTTTTATTATATCCTCTGCATTCTAGCCTTCTCTCGAAATTTCCCAGTGGTTTCAACGGCTGAGTCCCAAGTTAAAAGACCATAAGGGCGCCCAAAATACAACACAATACACGGATATAATAAGATATTGTACTGGCGGTTAGCCTCACTGCTGCCAAGCTACTTCTGTTGTTCTGCCAGTCTCCATAGAGATAGGGCAATTCTAAAATACACTCAACATCTGCATATTGTATAGCAAATAAAATATCAGCAGCACACACACACAGCAGCTTCAAATGACTGTCTCTAGAACACATCCAAAATGCCTTGCAAAGTATGCAAATGAGCATAAAAAACATTGTTCCTCTTCAATTATCCTGCCACATTTTTCGCGGCTCCTTGGCAATGACATGCTACTTTAAACATAGCTTCCAAGCAGAAGCACAGGGTAGGATCTAAATCAGGCTTCCCCAAACTCCGGCCCTCCAGATGTTGCTGAACTACAACTCCCATGATTCTCAGCCTATTTCATTTATAGAATCATGGGAGTTGTAGTTCAGCAACATCTGAAGGGCCGGAGTTTGGGGAAGCCTGATCTAAATTAAGGGTGATCAAAGGTTTGATCCACGTCTGTTGCAGGACTACAACTCCCAGCAGCAGCAGGATGGAAACTTTGCTTTGGAAGCAAGTACAAACAAATTGCCTTTTCTTTGCACACAAAACTCAATTGTTTCCGCTTGGGTAGCCTTAATCATGCTGAGCCTGCACTATCGTGCAACTGTCACAATGCTTTGCCAGCTGGAGATCTACCATTTTCCCATCCTTGCATCCTTGTATTTGTGAACAGTGTGTTTGAATGTAAGCATGTTTCTGCATGGAGTATGTGTGTTTTTGAATGTAGTAGTGTATTCATATGTACGGCTCCAATTTGAGTGTAGTGTTGTGTTTGTATGTAGTGTTGGTATTTGAGTGTAGTGGTGTGTTTGTGTGTGGAGTTGACATTTTAATGTAGGGGTATATTTGTGTATTGTGTTGGTGTTTGAATGCCTGGATGTATTGACACATACACTGCAACACACAGATACACAAATATACTGACATAAATACACATACACATTGACACAGATATTCATACAGACTGACACACATAGATATACACCTTACAAAGATACACACATTAACACATGTACATATATATATATATATATATTTATATATATATATATATATATATATATATATATATACACACAAGTATAGTGGCACTCACCCTTTCAATGAATCAATAAAAGACTGCCTTGGTGCAATCCCACGCCGGATATGTAAAGCAAAAAGGAAAGAGATGCACTCTCAGGTCTTTGTAGAAAAAAACTTGATATTATTTAATAACAGGTAACATACATCTGATCGACGTTTCGACCTCTTCAGGTCTTCCTCAAGATTGAAGATATATATATATATATATATATATATATATACACGGACACATACATATACACTGACATACTGACAAAGATGCACATACACACTGAGATATACAAAGATACACACACACACACACTGATACAGATGCACACCCATAATGACATACCCACATATATATACAACCATATTGACACAGATATACACATACTGACACAGATACACACACATATTAAAACACATACACACTGACATATGCACACACTCAGTGGCCCATACACACACAATAGTGACCCCTACACACACACTCAGTGACCCATATGCACACACAGTGACCCTCCCACACACACACAACCATACACACGCACTCAGTGACCCATACATACACAGTAACCCATTCACACAAATACAGTGACCCACACACACACAGTGACCCATACACACACACACACAGAGTGATTCATACACACACTCAGTGACCCCCCCACACACACAGTGACCCACACACACAAATACAGTGACCCACATACACACAGAGTGACACATACACACACACATAATTATTCATACACACAAATACAATAAACCACACACAATAATCCATACACACACACAGTGACCCACAAACACACTCTGTGGCCCATACAGGGCCGGCCTTAGGGGTGTGCGAGCTGTGCGGCCGCACAGGGCGCCATGGCAGCAGGGGGCGCCCTATGGCTGACAGCTTGCACACCCCCTGCCCTCTACCAGGGCTTAGCAGCGAAAGAGACTGTAGGAGGCGGAGCCAAGCAGCCGATGGGGGCGGAGCCAAGTGGTCGGCGGGGGCGGAGCTAACCGAGGCCTGAATCTGCTGCCTGGTAAGTGAGACCATAGTGCCCCTGCTCCCCCTATAGTACCCCTGTTTCCCATCTATCCCTATAGTGCCCCCCTCTTCCCCTATAGTAATCCTGTTCCCCATCTATCTCTATAGTGCCCCCCCTCTACCCCTATAGTAACCCTGTTCCCCATCTATCCCTATAGTGCCCCCCTCTTCCCCTATAGTGCACCCTCTACCCCTATAGTACCCCTGTTCCCCATCTATCCCTATAGTGCCCCCCTCTTCCCCTATAGTGCCCCCTCTTCCCTATCGTAACCCTGTTCCCCATCTATCCCTATAGTGCCCCCCTCTACCCCTATAGTAACCCTGTTCCCCATCTATCCCTATAGTGCCCCCCTCTTCCCCTATAGTACCCCTGTTCCCCATCTATCCCTATAGTGCCCCCCTCTTCCCCTATAGTAATCCTGTTCCCCATCTATCTCTATAGTGCCCCCCTCTTCCCCTATAGTAATCCTGTTCCCCATCTATCTCTATAGTGCCCCCCTCTACCCCTATAGTAACCCTGTTCCCCATCTATCCCTATAGTGCCCCCCTCTTCCCCTATAGTGCCCCCTCTATAGTGCCCCTATAGTAACCCTGTTCCCCATCTATCCCTATAGTGCCTCTTCCCCTATAGTGCACCCTTTACCCCTATAGTAACCCTGTTCCCCATCTATCCCTATAGTGCCCCCTCTACTCTTATAGTAACCCTGTTCCCCATCTATCCCTATAGTGCCCCCTATCCCTATAGGGCCCCCCTCTACCCCTATAGTAACCCTGTTCCCCCTCTACCACTAAAGTGACCCCCCTCTACCCCTATAGTACCCCTGTTCCCTATAGTGCCCCCTCTACCCCTATAGTACCCCTGTTCCCCATATATACCTATAGTGCCCCCTCTACCCCTATAGTGCCCCCATCTACACCTATAGTGCCCCTGCTCCCCTTATAGTACCCCTGTTCCCCATCTATCCCTATAGTGCCCCCATCTACACCTATAGTGCCCCTGCTCCCCTTATAGTACCCCTGTTCCCATCTATCCCTACAGTGCCCCTGCTCCCACTATAGTACCCCTGTTCCCCATCTATCCCTATAGTGCCCCCATCTACACCTATAGTACCCCTGTTCCCATCTATCCCTACAGTGCCCCTGCTCCCACTATAGTACCCCTGTTCCCCCTCTACCCCTATAGTGCCCCTGCTCCCCCTATAGTACACCTGTTCCCCATCTATCCCTATAGTGCCCCCCTCTACCCCTATAGTGCCCCCTCTACTCCTATAGTGCCCCCTCTACTCCTATAGTACCCATGTTCCCCATCTATCTCTATAGTTCCCCCTATCTACCTCTATAGTGCCCCTGCTCCTCGATCTACCACTATAGCACCCCTGCTCCCCATCTACCCCTATAGTGCTTCCCCATTTACCCCTATAGTGTACCTGATCCCTCCATCTACCCCTATAGTGCCCATGCTCCTTATCCATCCCTATTGTGCCCATGCTCCCCCTATATTGCCATTGTTCCCTGTCTACCCTAGTGACACTGCTCCCCTTATCTACTGCTATAGTGCATTGCTCCCACATCTACCCCAGTGCCCCTGCTCCCCCTATCTACTGCTATAGTGAACAAAAATCACACACGGTCAATACACACACATATCAGACACAGTCAATACACCCATTACAAATATGGCACACAGAGAACACATCACACAATCACGTCTGACACACACATGATAAATGTAGCTGTCTTCCGAGTTCCGGCCAATCAGAACGTTGCCGCGGATTACCACAGGAAAGCTCTGATCACCAGAGATCAGCATGCCCTCCCTCCATGCAAGGTAATGACAGGGAAGAGGTGATAAATATTTGTTAATTGTTAAATTTTCATTTAATAAATCCCCTATACACATGGATGGCGCGGGGCTGTTAAGATTTTTCGCACAGGGCGCCTGAAGGCCTAAGGCCGGCCCTGGGCCCATACACACTAATACAGTGACATACACTTGTTGGTCCTTTTCTCTCTTTCTTTAGCTGCTGGGATAATGTCATACCCCGGCGGCAGAAAGCATCCATGTATACTGCGAGGAGCACCTGGCAGGGCCCTTACGAGGAACAGCAGATGGGCCCCGCCACTGCTGTCTGTGCCACCCCCTCCCTCCCATTCGGCTCTCTTTTTAAATCCCATTTGGCAGATGTGAAAAGGGCCCAGGTGCGCTCTTCAGAGGTCATCGCACCTAACAAGGCTCCTGTTCAGCAAGACCTACTGGGTGGACCTAAGTGCATGGATCACCCAATGTGCCTACTCAGTGTGCAGACCCCAGTGCAGCCACACCGGCTGCACCAGCGGTAGTTCCACCACCACACAGAACATTATACATAGTAATCATGGACTGGAAGCCTGGTCAACCATGATACTGTAGTACACTTGTGAAATGTCTAGAGCACCAGTCCAGGCCTAGAGAATAACGAGGTGAGTTTGTTGCCCAGAATTGCTGTATACTAGTATCCCAGGAACAGATCTCTCCCAGCCCCTCTTAACAGCACATAAAAAAACGACACTTTTTTGTTGTTGAGCAAAGCAACAAAATATTTGTAATAACAGAGGATGTGCAGTTCTGCAACAGTTGGAGATACACTTCCAAGCCAAATCTGAGCACCTGCTTTATTCATAGACGGGAAAGTTCATGAGAACATCATGTTAAACATTATTAAGGTTGCAGGGGGATAACGAGAGCGATTAAAAAATCGGCAGATTTATTCCTATTCTAAAATCTAATTAAGGGTACCACCAGTAAGAAATAAAATACCTGTTTTTGTTTCTTGCTAACATTTCGGATGCTTTATAACATTATGATACACATTAAAACTATTCTAAGCTTATTTGCACATATTCTCGAACCAAAATGTTGTTGCCATACCACAGCCATTGCATGTTCTGAGTCAAGATTGCTCAAATGAGATTAAAAGTCCCTCCCGTCTCTCACATTAATATTTCGCATCCTGCTGCAAAGACAGCACCTGTTTTTTTTATAATGAATTAAATGCCTTTTTAGATTGTCACTTGCCTGTAACAGAGAATTAAGGGATATTGAAATGTTGCACTTTAACCCATCTTGCTCTAATTAAAAAGCAATCTATATTTTTCCATCTTTGTCTGAGCACTTTAATGTGTTTACTGGCTGATTCGTTAAACGGTAAATATACCCCTATGATTAAGCCCCTTGAATACATATTGATGCAGCTGTGAAATGGTGTCTTTATATAGGAATTAAGCCTTTTTATAGCACGTGGTAATGTAACTCCTGCAAGGTTTGATGACACAGAGGCCACGGTCTCTCAAATTGCTGCGCAGGTCTTTGCAATGAGAAAATGAATTATGTATTTTGGAATATTTCATAACCTTGTCTTTGAGCGTTTAATGAATGCACACCTAACGAAGCAATGAGTTTTCAGTCGTATGCAAGGAATGAAACACTCAGTTTGTTTAACCCTTTACAGGCTCGCTGAATGTGAGAACTGAGTGGATGCTCTGGGCTATTCCTGTGTCTGCGTTTGTGAGAATCTGGGATCTTGTTTGATGCACTGCTTTTTATTCTCTGTGTAACCACAGGCTCAACCTCTCTTAAAGTAAATTAAAAATGCCTTCTGGTAAGAAACACTACACATATAAATTCAATATATTGTCACAATCTAATTGTTGTGATATTTAAAGCATAGAATGCTTTAAAGAGACACTGTCATTCACAAGACACAGACATCAGCCTCAGGTAGATATAGACATAAGCAATACCCAAAAGAACTAAAATCGATACTGGTGACTCTGCTAGTAAACATATAAATTCGTTATGATATTTAGGTATATGATGACTGCATATGCCTCCTCCAAGATGGCTGCCAGAAACGGATGAGAGTGGTAGTCTGGGTGGCCATTTGCTCCCAGGTGTGGAGATTAGCAGTTTACAATGCATGGAAGCATGTTAATTGTAGGCCTGTATGGTATGGGCAGCAGCTTGTGACCGCTGTCTTAATAACTATTTTAGCACCAAGTGCACTCTTGTCTAGAAGTGTATAAACAGGTTATTCACTAACACATCATAGTAGTAAATTGAAAATCATGCTGCAAAATGTAAGCTTAAATAGAAGTGACTTGTTAATTGGGAGAAATGTACAAATCTGCATTTTGTCTACATTTAGAAAATTTGATCTTCAGTTGAATGGCATAATTGTTAGTGAATACGCAGTATATAAAGTAAAATAACTTTTTTATCAAGGTACTTGGTAGTCATTTGGCTACCACTGTGTGAAGAATTAATTCACAGAACTACAGTACAGGGCCTCTGATAAAACTCAAAGGGTTCTTCTGAGAACTGACTGTCCTGCTAACCTTAATTCATTGTCTAAATCGTACACGTGTAAAATGTTGACTGTCTCTGCTCCCTTCTCCCATGACACCTGTACTCTGAAATTAAGATTTCCCTCCTGGTATGTGAGCCAAAGACTTTGGTAATTTATAGGAAGCAGGGATCAGAGCTCCTTTAAAACCTGTTAATGCCTTCCAAATTGTATTACCTCCTCTGTGACATTTATAATTTAATCTGTTCCAATTCAAACGCCTGGGGTGATCTGACATACAACTCAGCAGTGGGAATCTGATCTGCACAAGTTCCAGAATAGAGGCACGTCTGTGAAGCTTGGCCCATGTTTCTGTTTCAGTGGCCCCACAGAAGCAAATGTTTAAGACATTATTTGGATTAAATACAGTCCAAATATTTTGCATCAGTAATCCTCCAGTCCTAGTGATTTGTGCTGGAGGGGTTGTGGACACAGGAACCAGTGGTGTATCCTGGTTTTGTGCTGCCCTAGGCATGACAAAACTCAGGCACCCCCCCTCCCACCACCCCCCTATCCCCACATTCTAAATACACACACACACATTCACTGACAGACACACATACACTAGCTAACAGACACATACATTTACTAACAGACAGGCATACACTTTCACTAACAGACA